TATATATTAAATAATTAATAATATATATTTAAAAGCTAAAAATAGAAAAATAACTCTAAATTCATGCAATAATCATTTTTAATAACCCATTGATGGTGCGAGACTAGGATTGGGACCAGTTCCAACAGCACTAATCCTTAAGCTTTAATTTTTTGGTTGGACCATGGTTTTGTTGATCACCAAAAAACAAAAATGCCTAAAAAAATGAATAAAAGAAAGAAAGAAATGGAATTACAAAAGAAGAGAATATTGTAGAAGAGGACCAAAGAAAGAATGCGAGAAGAGGAAGAAGATGACGTAGAAATAGAGACAAGTGGAGACAAGGTTGGAGAATCTATCCGAGAAGACCCATGAAGACGAGCACGGAGAGAGCCTGATATGACACATGAAGATGAGTGTCAGAGGCTAGGGTTGTATTGTTTACATAGAAGTGAAGGGACAAGAGTTGTGGTGCTCAGACTTGAAATGGCAAAAATACCTTCATAGATTTGCATTGTGCCACGAAATCCACCTCACCGCTCCTCAAGAAATCATACTCCAAGGGGCTAAACAGAAAAGTAACACCCATATGTTGTATAGCATAATGGTACTTGTACATGAATGGACAAGATACATCATCTTGCCTAAATACAGATGATCATCCTCAATGCACGAGCGAACAATGAACAGATGCGCTTTCGATGGTGTAGAAAACGCACAACTATCAAGTAATGCTATCATGGACTCCTTACTATCCAACCAACTTTCATACCGATCCATCTCACTCTTAATCCATTCATAGCCCTCACTATCTAATGAATCTTTCCGTTTATAATCATTTGAATCTCTAGACATAAACTCAACAAACTCCTCAACCCTAACAAAGATGGGCTCCGTTGCCACTGGCTAAACCACATAATAATGGGCAACATGTTCCAACCATGTCGAAAGTTCCCTATCAAACACTAGTGGAGGTATTCCCATGAAGCAACCTCATAGTAGTCTCAAAGAATGTTAAGTTAGACGAAGCAACTCCTAGCTAGATTTTGAATATGACAAATATATTACATATTGTTATTACTAATCTATGTAGTAGTGTTTCAGATATGTATAAGAACAGGAAAAAATAAAGCATGAAGCAGGGTCGAGCAAAACAAAGATCAGACAAACAAGCCAAATAATAGAAGGATCATGGCTTGCGCATCTGAAGACAACAAATACTAAACGAAGATATGCCAAGTGAGGTTAGTGGAAATACACACAAAAGGAGGGTTGAATGTGTGTGTTCATGTTCGAAGGAAGATTTTTGAAAGTCGCTTCGCAAGAATAATTTTTGTATAGGTGTATTTTGCCTTTGTATTTGTGAGGCATTTTCTTTCTTTTATTTTAGGTTATCCTTTAGGAATTTAGGGTATGTCACTTGGAGACTTTTGCTCTATTTGACCTTGTATTCTAGGTCATCCATTTTTGTATTTTTTAGTAGTGAAAATGGGGTGACAAATAGCAAGGTGTGTAGGTGCAACTTGTAATTGGGCCAGGACTGGGCCTAGGCCAAATTTTACATATTGGGCTTGTTTTGCTCCATATTTTTCAAGGAATTGATTTAGCTAGGCCTCACCATTATATGGTGAACCTAACTAAACCAATTCCAAAATTTTGGATTGGACTAAACATGGAGAAACAAGCTTGGCCGCCTAGCTTGGAGCCTTGGCCGGAATTCCTAGTCTCACTTGTACACTTGGAAAGCTTGTAGCCCAAGCTTCTAACTTAGCTTGCTTTCCAAGCTTCTAAGTTAGAAGCTTGCTCCACAAGCTTCCCAAGGCTAACTAGACCGGTCAAGCTAAGCTAACCATGGTTCTCTTGAACCATAGTTAGCCTAGCTTGCACCACAAATTTCCATCACCCTATATAACTCTTTTCCCTTCACTTGTAATGAACTTTTGGCATATTTGAGAGTGAAATCCGAAAATTGTTCAGCAATTTTTCTCTCTTCTAAAAGTCCTAACCTCTTTGATATTCATCCAATTCTCTTATCCCTTCCATAGAAGAGTGTGGTAAGAATTGGAGAGACTTATCTCTTCTTCAAGCAGTGGCGTCTCTTGAGAGAGTCTCTACCAAACCGTGGTGCTTCCAAGGTCTCTTCCTCCATTGGAGACCTTGGAGAAGCTTAAGAAGAATCAAGGAGCCAAAGGTCTTGGGAGGAACTTGAAGAGGAATCAACATTAAAAATCTAGAAGGTTGTTCAACATATACTTCTTCTTGAATAAAACCATTTAGAAATGCACTTTTGACATACATTTGATATAGTTTGAAATCCATTATAGATGCATAGGCAAGTAACATTCTAATGGCTTCTAGTCTAGCTTTGTTTCTTATGACTATACTATGTTCATCAATTTTGTTTTTTAAAAAATCCATTTAGTTCCTATAATTGGATGATTATTTGGTCCATGGGCTAGTTTCCATACTTGATTTCTCTCAAATTGATTTAACTCTTTTTGCATAGAATTTATCCAATGTTCATGATTTAAGGCTTCATCAATGATTTTTAACTTCTATTTTAGAAACAAAAACCAAATTATTGCATGCTTCTTTGAGAGAGTATCTAGTAGTTACCTCTTTTGATATGTCTCCAATGATATTTTCAAGAGGATGATTTCTTGAGATTCTCAACTCTCTTTGAGGAATCATGTTTGTTTGATTCTCTTGAATTATAGAATCCTCCATTCTTTCATCTTCTTTGTCCTTATGAGTTTGCTCATGAATATGAGTGTCTTCAAAGCTTTCTATTTTTCCAATGTCAAGTATTTTTCTTTGTTGTTGTCTCCATAGGTTACATGTCCACTTTTCTTAGGAGTAATGTCAATGAATTTTAAAGTATCTCCTATCATATGCTTGGAACATTCACTATCAATGTACCAAGTTTGGTCATCCTCCTCCATAGGAGACCTTAGCCAAGCCTAGGAAGAATCAAGAAGCCAAAGATCTAGGGAGGAACTTGAAGAGGATTCACATCAATCCGGATTCTCCAAGCAAGTTTCCATCATATGCTCTTTGCTTTCTTTTTCGTATTGCACATTTTCTCTACTTCTTTATTCTATCTTCTTCTTTTCATTGATACTTATAGCCATTTGATAATTCTGCCCGTTTTTTGAATTCAAATTTTTCCGTTAGAGCATAGTTGCAAATGGAGGCTTGTTCATGGCTATGTAAATCTTCTCATTTAATGCTTTTTATCTTGCATTAAATGTTTGCTTGTATTCGTGGAGGCTCTCTGTGTAGTTGATTACTTCAATATCTGACTTCAATCATGATCTAGGTATATTTGTACTTTCCTCATCAATTTAGCTTCTACTTTGCTGTCTTTTTCTAAAAATTAGGTGTCCTTTCTCTGATTCATTCAACTTTGACTTGTGATTCCACGTGTACTATCCACGCTGCGAAGCCGAGCTCCTAGCTCGGCATTACAACATAAGACGATCTCGGACACGTGTCGCGTGACCTCAGATCGTCACTTAAATAGATCATAACCGATCTCAGGCCCAAGGCCCAACACAGCCCTAATTCACACAAAGGTACGTGCATTACTTATAGGAAATTCATATTCACACAAACCCTAACTTTGGCATCGGAGTCTCTTTTGGGGGTACCACCCCCATCTTGGAACATCAACGTACCAGTAAAGGAGGCTCATCGACCTTACTCGGAGGATCTTTACAGCAAATTCCC